AATATTCTTCTGAGAAAAATAAAAGCCTAGAAGATTATGCAGGTATTGCATTGGCTACTGCTAATGTGTTTTATTCTGTAATTTTATTCACCTTACATTGCAAGGAATTGGCAAGGTTGTTGCACTGTAGCAGAGCCAATGCTGCTGGGGTATACATTTCAGCTGAATAATCTGGAGACTCATTCTATCCTTGCTGCAAACTGCCATTATGTCCCAACCAAGTGCTTTAAATAAGAAAAAACCCTCCTTCTGTACATTACTGTGGGTAACTGCCGAGTACAAAGTCTGTCTTCCTGTTCCACTCTCCACACTTTCTCTCTGTGTCTATATCCATTCAGGTGGATGGAGAGCTAATCAATTCTCACTGGGCTCTAAAAGGCCAGAGCTCAGGCTACAGCCTTCTGCTCAAGCTAATATCACGCTCTGTCTTTTAGCTCCACCCACTCCGCCTCCTCACATCTGCCTCAATTTGGAGATTTTCTGCAGTTTCTACATGGGTGAAAGAAAAAGCCATTGGATGCAGTCATTTTCTAATCAGGATATACAGATTACTATATATTGCTAAATTTGGAAATCTAAAATATGGGATTATGTATCTTGATGAGGAGAGAGAGGAAGACAGAGGGGAATACAGTTGATGGGGGGCAGGGTGAGGAAGTGAATAATGAGACCAGTGGCACAGAAAGGAGGCAGTGATAGGTGAAGAAGAGTACAGAAGGAACAGATAAAGAAATGAGCATCACTGGCGCTCATATTTTAAAGGGCAATGTTAAATTGAAACATATGCTGCGATTACTGCCAGTCCACTGATTTAGGCTCTTATGCCTACTTGCGGATTAGCAGACAGTCCACTTAGACCTTCGCTGAGGAGCTGATAAGCACCCGTTTCTGAAGAGGCACCCTCTGAAACAAGAATGGGCTAAAATACTGCAATACAAGTGTTGCTCAAATGATGTGAATAGTGATTTTTGAGTGAGACTAAAATCTGGTAGCGAATCTGCACCATTGACTTTTTACATAAATATTTATTGTAATTATTGTAACTGTGCCAAAATGCTACCAGTACATCGTTACCAGCTTTGTTCTACTTGTTTGTCTATAAAGCTGCACACTACATTTCATAGCGCAAGTACCAGCACTGTGGGTTCTTTGGAATTGGGGAACCCATATATTTTTTCCGTAATTCTGAATAATAAAAATACAAACATTTCTTTTATCTTTTATTTGTGCGTCTCAAATACTGCAGCTTGGTCAGTAGCTTTAAAATATTACACTGTTGGTATCCCTCTCGCATCATTTCTGGATGCGCCTGCCATCGAAGTCAGGTGATGTAGTATAAAGAGTGAGAAAGGTGGTGGGGTAGATGGAGCTTAACGTAGGAGACTGCTGTTGTGTGAAACCAACACTAAATGTATGTAAGTCATGTCAGGTACATAAGGTATACTTTATTCAACCTTTTCAAAATCCTAAATATTTTTTGGGGCTTAACCTGAATCTGACCAAACTGCAACCATTTCACAACACTCCTTTACATTGCTTTATTTTGAAAGTTAGTTTGAAAGTAACCGGACGTTGCATATTTATTGTTGCTAACTTGACAGCAGAGCCCTGCACGTCCGGAAATCACACTAGAGGGATACCTACAGCGCCATATTTTGAAGTAGAGGGGCATTCACCATGCGCTAGTATTTGATGAATTGGAAAGCGACAAGTGATATATGTTTCCAATGCTGTGAAATGGAGATAGTGTGCATCCACTAATGAACTTGTGCTATATGTGCAGATAAATGTGTGATGATCAACTGTTATTAATTGATGGACTTTTTGACTCATGAAAGTTAAACTTTACTAGTTCTGCTTTTGGCTGATCACAATATCGATCAATTAATGTGAAGGTAGGGATGACCCTTCAGCAGTGCTGTAGATAGGACCACCTCTTTAAATCGAAGACAAGTCCAAGACCAGGACTAGTTAAGACTGAATCATCACCAACTCCAAACAGGTTTGAGTCCATTTCAAGACCAAGTCCTAAAGAGAGAGACAGAGTCGAGGCTGAAACAGGAAAAATACAAATGCTTTTGCCAGCGAGATAAGTTTTGGCAGCCAGACAAGCTATATTCACAGAGCCTTCCCTCTCTGCTAAAGAGCCTTTAGAAAAGTGAACCATCTGTCTATCAACAACCAAAGGGATAATAAAACAATACGAAGAAAACACTGCAATTGTCAAATAAGAAGCCAATTAAGTATGTGTGGTTGATAAAATTGTAAAAAAAAAAAAAACATCATAAAAAAGACAGAGAATATCTGATGCAATATTCATTTGAAATAATCTGCTCAAAATTCATCCAAATCACTTCCTACAAACTTCCTGCAGTTATTGTGTTCACTGTTTTGATTCATTGTACAGTTTATGGGCGGCCAAGGCTCATTGATGTACATGGGGCTGGCCCGTGTGGTCTGATCCAACAGAGGAGCTACTGTAGCTCAAACTGCTGAAAAGGTCATAATGTAATGGTGTATAAAACCTATACTTAGTCAGGGGTCGTAATGGTCCCTTCAAGAAAAAGGGTGGGAACCACTGCTTTAGGCTACCAAGGCGTCCAGCTACAGATTTCATACTGTGTCTCAGCCTGCAGTGCTAATAATCAGTGTGACAAAAATGCCACTATGCAGAAAATAAGAGTCAACACAAGAGCAAAACAGAGACAGAGGAGACACAGAGCGGTTACTACAATGCAACAGAAAATCTCAAAATAAATGTTGCTGCATGACTGACAGCTTCTGGACTGTATTTGAAACAAAGACACTTTAGCCTCCAATCTCTTTCTCTCTCTGCAGTAAAATCTAATGTGGCTGTGAAATATGAAACACACGCACGCACACACACACCCTCCATCAATATCTGATTCGTCAGCAGTGTCAGTGCTTCTGTTTGGCCATTTGACTCTTTGAGCTGGTCCATCCCCTACACAGGACTGCTGGAGCTCTTCCACACTGCCCGCAACAGACAATATAATGACATCACCCGAAAAAAAAAGTGAGTGAGTGAGTGTGTGTGTGTGTGTGGTGTGGTGTGTTGTGTGTGTGTGTGTGTGTGTGCCGTTGAATGATGTGTGTGCTGTGTGTAAAGAGACAGGGGAAAGACAGTATGAATTAAAGTGGAGAAAATAAGAGAGCACAAGAGATACGCCATAGACAAGGGAGGACACTTCGACTGATTGATTAAACAATGGCTGCTCATTAGAGATAACTAGCCTGAGGTGTGTGTTAGCGGGAGCGGCAAGTTGGTGCCTGTGTGTTTGAGTCCTGCATGAAGGGCCTGCAGCTGAAAGAAAGATTTAGCACAGAGGTGGTGGATAGAGATATAGGAAGACACACAGAGCAAAGCAGAGTGGCTACATGCACACACCTAACACACACACACACACACACAGAGGATGCAAAACTCTAACATGAACATGGATATCGGAATGTGGCTGTGGTTCCAGCTGCATATTATATGGCAACATGGAAAAACGTACATAACCACATTAGTGGTTCTCCAGCTGACCTGCCACACCACACAAAGCACAAAGACAAAGCACAATTGCAACCAGCACAAGGGAAGAAACTTGACATGCCATTATTTGCCGCACTCCACAAGCGCACCAACACAACACCAGTAACTGTGCGATCCAGCCCTGCAACAACCATACCACCACCATTATAGCCGTGACATATTAGGAACCAGATCTCACTGATTGTTCAAGTACCTACAGATACTCAGCTACTAGTCCACCCTGTCTTCTGCATTGGCCATCGTTCCATAAACATCACCCCTCAATGTGCTTCCTCTCACAAAGATTCTTGTTTGCAT